AACCAGACACACGTGCACAGAATTTTTATGATCTACCCCCAGAAGTCAGAGATTTGCTTCTACTGTGCTGTACTGACTGGGTAGTCACAAAACTCCACCCAGGTTCAAGGGGAGGGGACATAGATACCCACCACTTAATGAGAGGTGTATTAATGTTAGATTGTAAGAAGTATATGTGGGATAGGATATAGAATGGTGCCCATTTTCAGAAAATGATGTGTCTCCACAACTATTAACAGCCACACAAGCTGTCTGATGGGGGGGAGGGCATGATTTTTCCTCTGGGATCAATGAAGAAAATTATATTTGAATTATAAAGCATTAATTATACTCGATCTTTCAAATCCCCTCATGGGAATTAAAAAATCTGCCTCCTTCCATTTGCTGTGGAAGCAGCCCTACTCACACTGTGTGGCCCTACTGATCACAGTCCACAGGACCAAGCCAGTCCTGGGTGAACCTGGAGGCAAACCAGAGTAGAACAACATGGCGTCTATCCACGAATAGAGGGGCTTTGGGTGGGATGAGAAATCAGGGAGGCCTGGAGAGTCACCGACCTTTCTCACTGGGAATTTCTGGAGAATTCTATGCACTGCTCCCAATAATTGCTTCAGGGTTAGTGTGGAGAAGGAGGATTACTATTTGTGAAGTCTATATGGCAGACACTCTGCTGCATGCTTTCTTTAGCCCTTCATGGTGGATTTTTTTTTCCCATTGATGAGTGAGGGAGTCAAGGTAGAGGGGTTTAATAGCCTTCTCAAGACCATGCATCTAATAAGTTGCAGAGCTAGAATATGGTCTTGTAAAAGATAACTGGGACAAACTCTTTAATACTTTCTATTGGAAAGAGCCCCTGTCAAAACATGGAAGAGAAAAACATGTCAATCTTACATGTAAGCAGATGGTAGGGGGGTGCAAGTCAATGAGAGTGAGAGGGGAACTTGTCACCTGCAAACGGAGCTTTTGGAGAATTCTGCTCCAATCTAGGACTTGTCAAGTGATTAGTGACCTAGGACAGTTGGTCACCACAAAAACCAGGTGTTGCAGCTACAGCATGTCAACCTGTCTACAAACCCCTCTGTGATTCTGTTCCTGTTTAGGGATGAAAAGAAAGCAAGCCAAGAGAAATGACCACATCCAGGATGAGTTTAAACCCAGCTCTTGTTCTCTACTCGAAAGATCTTTCAGAAGGGGAGAGAGGGAAGACTTAAGAACTCCTACTATCCAGACGACTCTCTGAGTTGTTTAAATCAGAGTCTGGGGAGGCACACAGAAATTAATAATTTGTTTTTAAAAATCCAGGTGATTTTAATTTCAGCCAAGTTTTGGAATCTTTACTTTGATTACAATTAATGCTGGTGGGAGCCCAGGAAAGCTTCTGTGCAGCAGATAATGTAAGGCATTCTCAGAAACCCTCACATTTCCACTCTTCATTAGGTTTTCATACCCCCAACAAATAGGAAGACTCTCTCCACACTCCTTGCCCTACTTTATGTTATTCTCGTAGCACTGATAGAGCACCAAATATGATACTCTACATTTATTTGTCCACCCAATTATTATGTCATCTCCCCTAGAGTATAAATTCCAGAGTCCAGTGTTACCATACTTTCAGCTTTAGGAGGTACCATTCAATACAAGGTGAATGGCACCCTCTGGAGTTGTACGATGAAGTCCTTTATGGGAACAGAAATTTTTATTTTATTGTTGTTCCTCAAGTGTCTAGAATGTTCAATAAATATTTTTTGCATAAATGAATAAATGAATGAACATAAAGTTGGTAATAAGAACTTTTTGGTCTCCCACCAGCAAAGGACCTTAGCTCTGATGCTTATCATCATCATCTCATCCACATCCCCATCATCAGCACCACTGTTATCAACATCATCATCAGTATTAGTAAGATTCCATACAGAATGTCCTTTTGAAGACAGGATTCCATGGCAAAAAAAAAAAGTCTGAAAATTAATTCCCTGTTGAGGTGAATGAATAGTTCTCTTCTCCCCAAATCCCACCCATACTCAACCTTGAATGACTTTGGAACCAGACAAACAAGAATTTGCCTTATCACTTAATATAATGGGACTAAGGGCCAAATATTAGTCTTTAAATGGTTAGAACAACTGTCTTACTATTACATATCAAGAGGTCATATATAAAGTACCTATGACAAATAAATATATGAAAATATGACCAAATAGAAAATGCAAATGAAACCTGATAATATTTACCCATCCAACTGGTAAAAATTCTAAAGTGAGATGGGATTTTAGTAAGGTAATGTTAGCTGTTGTTAATAGGTAAACCTCAAAATCTCAGTGATTTAATTTTCTCTTTAGTTGAAGATCAATCAGCAATGATGGTGAGGGGTGCTCTTCCCCTTTTTGGGGACTGAGGCTGATTCCCTCTTGAGGCTCCACATCCCCTGTGGGCCATGGAGCTCTCCACTAGCTTTTCTTCTACCTCCTTTCAGAGGAGGGATTGTGCCCAAGGTTTATATTGCCCAGATCATTACTTCTGTCCAATATTCTTGAAGCTCCAGTAACATGAATTCATCTAAAGGCAAAGTCAGAGAGGCTGGGAAATGCAGTTCTTAATTAGGGGACTGCCTGTTGGCAACAATTCTAGACCAGAGAAAAAGAGCAGGATTTCTTAGTGAACAGCTGACAACCTCTACCATAGCATCATTGCCAGTGGGGGTGTGGGTAAGTGACTTTTCCCAGATGCAACCGATGGAATTCTGAATCCATCACTGGCCTGTGGAGGAATTCATGGCAGTAGCTTTAAAAATTCAAAACAGTCGTCATGTGACCCAGCAACTCCACTTCTTGGTACCAATCCAAGAGACCCTAGCAAATGGGAAAACACTAGCATGTCTATTATAGCACCCAAACTGTCATGAAAATACAACCTAAATATCTATCAATAGGGACATCCCCAAATAGATCATATCCATCTGTGACATCGAATACCACACAGAAGTTTTGAATGACAGATTTATACCTACTGGCCTAGGAAGTATGCAATGTCATATTGTTGAGTGAATATAACTTTGTTTTTAGTTGTTGATAAACCTTTATTTTATGTATTTATTTTATGTGTGGTATTCAGATTCGAACCCAATGCCTCACACATACTAGGCAAGCACTGTACCACTGAGCTACAACCCCTGCCCATGTTAATACAATTTTTAAAATAAGTTAGTATTTCTATTAAAACAGATAGAAAATACCATATGTTTTCTATATGGTCATAAAATTGGTGATGCATCGAAAAAATTTTTGGAAGAACATGGACCAAAAGGAAATAATGGTCAACTCTAGGGAAAAAATGGAGAGGAAGAGAAATACAAGAAAGGAGGAAGGATTCACAGTCACAGAAACATGAAGATCTTACAGCAGGGTGGGCACAGATCCAAGCAGGCCCAACTCTTATTTTTTAAAGGATATATGAATTCCACTTCTAAATATATAGTCCAAATAATTGAAAACAGGGACTCCAAAAAATATTTGCATGCAAATATTTTAAACAGCATTATTTACAATGGCCCCAAAGCAGAATCAACCCAAGTGTTATCAATATATGAACAAATTAAAAAATGTGATATATGATACAATGGAATATTATTTAGGTATGAAAGGAACAAAATTCTGATACTTGTTACAAAATACATGAATTTTGAAAATGTACAAAGCAAAATAAGCCAGACACTAGAGAAAATATTGTATGCCCCCATTTATATGAAGTATCTAGAATAGACAAATTCATATGAAAGGAAATGATTAGAAGTTATTAGGGGCTCAGGGGCAGAAGATAGGGAATTGTTATTTAATGAATTCAGAGTTTCTGCTTGTGGTGAAGAAAATATTTAGAAATAGTGGTGATGACTACATAATATTATATTTATAATTAATGCTACAAAATTGTATACTTAAAAATGGTTTAGAAGGTAAATTTTATGTGATACATATTTTACCAAAATTAAAAAAAAAAAAGAGAGAGAGAGAGAGAGAGAGAATTGACAACTTAAAAAAAAAGGCTCAGAAGGCTGAGGTAGGAGGATAGCAAGTTCAAGGCCTGCCTTAGTAACTTAGCAAGACCCTAAGCAACTTAGTGAGACACTGTCTCAAAATAAAAAATTAACAAGGGGCTGGGCATGTGATTCAGTGACTACGCAATCTTGGATTCAATTCTCAGTACTGAGAAAACAAAAAAAAGATTTAATACATTAACGGACCTTCACAGAGAATCAAATAGGCTCTTCTAGAGTCAATAAAAGGGAGTAAGGAGTAGAAGGGTCCCTTCTACAAACCAGATTCTCCTCTTGTGCCCTGAGACGTGATTTCCAATATTGAGGTATCTACTTTTGCTGTAGACTATTTTAAAATGACTTGTATAAGGAAAGGGAAGAATGTAATTAAATCTGTTGAAGAGTGAGCTATTTAAATCTCTTTAATAGGAAATGTGCTGAGCTTAGTCATGTTCTATGAGAAGCTGATAATGGAGACAGAAAATGAGAGGTAAGCTGTAGGAAGTTTGGCTTCGAATCGATCAGATGGTGGGAGACCAGCTCTTCTTCCTTGGACTAATTATTGATAGATTCTTATGTGTTTTGAGGGGGATGGAGGGAGGGCAATTAAATGATTTATGGGTTTAATTTCCTTGATGGCTGGAAGACGGCCGTCTTGCACTCTGGACCCAGGGAAACGGATCCAAACAAGTTTGAGAGCAAAACCCCCAGCAATCAGCAAAGAGAAGCTATTTTCCTCTCTTGGAATTAGAATTATGATCCCAGCAGCCTGAGGTCATCTCCTTGGCCCTTGGAGGCCAATGTGGAATTTTCAAAGCTAACAAGATTTGACCTTAGCTAATAAGTTCAGTAGGAAAAGTAACAAATGCTTCAGGGTCCAAAGAGCAAAGCAAAGTTTGCCTCTCATTGGTCTGTTTTGCTTTTGCTCTTCAGGGACTCTGGTTCTTAGATAAAAAGATGTATAATCAAATACAATTTGATAAATATTTATTGAAAGGGTGGGTGGGGTATGGAAGGATACGTTTGGTTCCTGTGTGAAGTTGAGGGAACAGGAGTCACAGACAATGGGAGAAGCGAAAGATTTTATTTTGGGGGGTGATGTTGTGCAGTGGAGGAACACAGGTATGGAGACAGCAGGATTTGCCACTTATTAACTTCGGCGACCGTGAGACTTTTCCTCTCTGAGCCTCAGGATTACTTCCTGAGTCATCCTGGTCTGCACAATAGGGGAGATGGTATTTTAGTCAGTTTTTCATCACTGCAACAACAACAAAAAAAAAACTGAAAAAAATTTGGGAGGGGAAAAAAGTTTATGCACTCACGGTTTCAGAGGTCTGCATTCATAGATGGCCAACTCCATTGTTTCTTGGTAACAGGGCACAGCAGAGGAAAGCAGCTCAGAACATTGCACCAGGAAGGTGGGACACAGAGAAGGGCGGGAAATCCTCATCAGGGACAAAATGTATACCCCAAAGGCACATGCCCCATGCCCTCCCTCCTTCAGCCACACCCTCCCTGCCTATAGTTACCACCCAGTTAATCCCTATCAGGGGATTGATGTCCTGATTAGGTTCAGGATCTCATAACCCAACCATTTCACCTGTAAGATTTCTTGAATTGTCTCTCACATGACCCTTGGGGCACACCTCAGATCTGAACCCTACCATGGTCATGTCTTCCACATAGTGTTGTATGCTTTCCAGGGCCAGAAATGCAGAGTGGAAGCTGAGGAATCGGTTGGCTTTACCAATGTCCCTGGTCTTGGGGATCACAACAGTGGAGACCAAGGCCTGCACTCGGTTAGAGGGAGCTGAAAGATGGTGGCCTTGGCCTAGGCTCCAAGTCCACTGACAACACCAGAGATAGGAAGGAAAAAGGTTTTGTTCCATTTGCACCCAACTGTTCTGACACCAACTGGGTGTTCTATAATTCAGTGTAGACATTAAGTACTTGGAGTCAACACAGACCCCACAGGTGAAGGACGAAGTCCTTTATAAGACTGGCCTTGCTTTGGATGCCAGCTGCACTTCAGGGTCCCAGGCCATTTCTGAATAATTGACTTTAAATTTGGGGGTTCCCATGACCCTCTCAGGCCCAACAATTCACTGGAATGATTCACAGAACTCAATCACTGAAAGCTGCCATTGTAAGAGGTGAAAGGACATGATCTGGCGCTCCAAGTGAGCCTGGAAATGATACTTAGGAAGTCTGTGGCCTGGGACAAGAAAGAAGCACATTTTCATGTTCATGGACACCTGGTTGAAATTTAGTTATTTCCATCCAGTATGAAAGTAGTCAACAAGCTCTAATGAAACTAGCAGTAACTGTGACTCTGTCACCTACAGAATCCATAGGTATTTTCATATCACATGCCAGTGGTAGATTGTTTATGTATTTATGACTTCAAAACTAGGCTCATTATTAGACTCTTATATTTACTCAGAGTCACTCAGAGCATGACAGGTGCCTGTCTATGAATTAATATAGGTACATGGCAAGGTAAGTACAGGAATTAAAAGTTAGTATCTAGAGACTTTTATAATTATTTGACAGAATAATTTAATGTCCTTTGAATCAAATAATAAAAAATTTGTATTTGTATTTTATATTCTCTCTCTTTTTTTTTTTTTTTTTTGGTACCAGGGATTGAACTCAGGGACAGTCGGCCACTGAGTCACATCCCCAGCCCTATTTTGTATTTTATTTAGAGACAGGGTCTCACTGATATACTTAGTGCCTCACTTTTGCTGAGGCTGGCTTTGAACTTGTGATCCTTCTGCCTTAGCCTCCCGAACCCCTGGGATTACAGGAGTGTGCCACTGAACCTGGCTTATATTCTTTTATTTCATGTTTTTATTTTATAAAAGTTGTTATTCCAAGATGAATTGGAAAAATAAATTGCATCTTCCCTACCAACAGCTTGAAAAGCACTCATTTAATGGGTTAACACAAAGCAAACACTTCAAAAATTTTTTGATGACTCCATTTTGACATAATTGGTTTCCTTCGTGTTTCTATCCCACCTTATGTCAGCATCATCCTGAAATAGAGTCAGTCAGCTTCATCAGACTGCCAAAGGAATCTATGGTATAAAGAAGATTGACAATGCTTGAACAGGGACTCTGGGACCCCAAATAGGCCTGCTCCTCTCTATCATGTCTCGTCTCATTCTGGGAGGAAGAGTGAATAGCTTTCTCCCTGATCTCCTGGTCATGATAAGGTCACAGTTTGCCTAGGGACTTTAGTTTGCTCCCATCCTTCCCTCAGGGCCATATTTTCCTTCCTAGATCTACATAAATTGTTTTCTATTTCTTTGGACTTGTTGCCACTGTGTCCTTCCTTACAGCTCCAAAATTAGGGATAACCTCTCTGTACTTTCCTGAATCTTACCCATATATCAAAACCCAACCGAAACCCAGCTTCCTCAGAGGAGACCAGGAAGATGTCTTCATTCCACACAAATCTCCTTCTTCTCTGAGCTTCTGTGTGGTCATGGCCTGGCAGGTGGGCAGAAGGCTGGACAGGAAGTGAAGGCAGGTGGTAGAGTATCTAGCTCCACCCATGTCAGCTGGGGTCCAAACAGCCACAGAAAGCCTAGTGGAGGAAACGTGTTATTAAGGAATGTCTGTGCCAAGGTTTAGGGAGGAAAATGAACACTTACATGGCACCCAGATCAAAGAGGTTTGTGTTTTGTGAACACACTGTTACACAGCTAGTCAAGTATGTATTAGACAAGTGGGTTGCTGAAAAAGCAGAGGTAACAAAATCAGACATTTTTACTAAGAAAGTCCTGTAGTTGAATTTATGTTCAGCATAGGGATCTTTTAAAGGTCTAAGAACTTCCCTTCATTATAAATATATGTGTGTGCATATATATAGTATACTATATATATATTGATTTAGGACCTGGTGACTATGACCTTGGTCAAGTTACTTTAACTGTGCTTCAGTTTCCTCATCTGCAATGTTAAGATAATAATCCCTACCTCGTGGCTGAATGAAGATGAACTGAGTCAATGTTGGTAAAACGTGTAGAGTTGAGTTTAGGAATATTGTGTGAGTCAGCTTTCATCACTATGACAAAATACCTGACAGTCAGAACAACTCGTGGTTTCATTGGTTCAGTCCACGATCAGCTGGCTCCATTGCTTTGGGCCTGACAGGAAACAGAACATCATGGCAGAGAAAAGCTGAACACGTCATGGTAGCCAGGAAATAGAGAAAGGGAAGGAGAAGCCAGGGGAGTAAGATATAATCCCCAAGGGTACACCTTCAGTAACCCAAGTCCTTCAGTCACAACCCACCTGCCTACAGTTACCACCCAGGATAGTAGTCTTTTCAAATTATTAATCCATCGATGGACTAATCTGCTGATTAGGTCATAGCTGTCATAATTTACTCATTTCACCTCTGAACATCCCTGCTTTGACAAAGACGCTTTGTGGGGACACCTCATATCCAAACCATAATGTTCTGTCCTGGCCCCCTAAAGCTCATGTCCAAGAGAGGGCAGGTGGACAAGATAGAATCCCCAAAGTCATATCCTCAATGACCCACCTCCTCCAGCCAAAACCCACCTGCCTACGGTTACCGCCCACCACAGTCATTCTTTCAACCGATTCTTAATTAGTGGATTAGGGTACAGCTCTTATGACTATTCCTGCATTAGGAATATGAGCTTTTTGGAGACACCTTGTATTCAAACGGTAACAGCTATATAAGCATTTGTTAAATAAAATTCCATTTTATAAATGAGGAATTAGAACTACCAAGATGTATATATTGTGGAGGAGGGAAATACCTCCTTTTTATTCCCTTCTGGCTGGGGTTTGCCCACCCACCTTACTAGTGTCTCTTTGTGATCAAAGGTAGAGTTACTAATATGACTGTTCAAGCTGAAGATATGATTAGACCATCTCTCCTTGTAGTTCAGAATCCTTGCATTCCAGGTCTCCTTTGCTGGCCATCTCTTCTGCTCACATGGCGGATCTCTTTCTCTGTTCTTCACAGGCAAATGTGAACAAGGTGACCTTTGCTTTCGGCTTAGATGTGCATTCTTCATACATAGGAGGCTTCTGGTGTAATATCCAAAACCTGGCCCAATTCTGAGCTCAGCACATTTGATTGGTTGTCTTCTGATGGCTAGGTTGGTTTTTTGCTAAACTCCAGCTCCATCCTTTCCATGGAAATGCCTCAGACAATGGAGGTCGTCTCCTCATACATCCTAATACTTGCGATCAAATGCATAGCATTTAGAATATATGGTGAGTTGGCATCAGGCCTGTCTGAAATTAGGATCTGGATGAGGAGAAGACTGGATATCAATATCAGAGCACTGTTTCCCAAGTCTCTCCTACACCTCCCATTTTCACATCTCACCAGCCTCTGTATTCACTCCAGGGTAAGTAATGAACGTAAGACCAGCCTGACTTTCAGAGTCCTAGTGGATTAAATATCGTTTGGCGTGTCTATTAGAAACAAGGATGTGAGCAATGTGACACCTCAAACTCAAAAATCAGACCCCTCCTCAAATTCCATATAGGCTGATCTTTTCTCCACATTATAGTACATTTCCCTAAATCACCTCCTAACTCTGCTCATTCCCACCATAATAACTACCACTTTTCCATAATAAGCACCTGGGATCATTATTCAAAGAGGCAGACAGGTGCAGTTTGATGGTTCTCTTCCTCCTTACCCTCCTTTTCTTTTACCTAATCTTTCGTCTTCATTTTTCATCAGTATCTCTATCATGTTCATTATCATTACTATCACTAATATTTGTTACATCTTACTCTGTGGCAGATGCTGAATCTAAGACTACTTCATCTAATCCCTATAAGACACATGCTATTATCATGTTACTGTTCTCTTTCCTTGTTGGAGAGGTTGTCACCATGACGGTTAAGAGCTCAGGCTTTGAGTCAGAGGACTTAGATAAAATCGTGCTCCAGTATTTGTTATCTAAGAGACCAGTTATTTAAATGCTATAAGCTTCAATTATTTAATCAGTAATAGAGATAATATAATGTCTACTTGGATGCCTACAATTCCTACTGAAAGTAGAAAATAAAGGAGGAAAAAACAAGAGTCATTATATAGGATTACAGAAAGATGGTTCTTATAAGTAAATGATATCATTTGGTTGTGAATTAAGAGAAATATTAAGATCAATGAGTGATTATAAAAGCTGGTTAGATCAGAAGAATTAAAACCTTGGTCCAGAAGTTCAAGAGAGTTACATGGGCTGTGTTTTCCAATATGCTCTGAAATGGATACATATGTTGATCAACTTTCTATCACTATTATGAAATGCCTGAGATAATAAGCTTAAAAAGATAAAAGGTTGATTGGCTCAAAATTTTGGAGGTTACAAGTTGGCCTTGTTGCTTTTGGTCTTTGTTGAGTCAGCATATCATGACAAGAGTATGGAGTGAAGCAAAACCACTGATCTCTTGGCCAGGAAGCAAGAAAGAGTGAGAAAGGAGCCAGGATCCCATAATCCCCTTTTAAGGGCACACTCTCCAAAACCTGAAAACCTCCCACTAGGACCCACTTCTTAAAGGTTTCACCACCTCCCAATAGTGCAAGGCTGATGACCAAGTCTTTAACATATAGACCTTTGAGGGACCTTTAAAATCCAAATCACAACAGTATATAACCTTGCCTTATGTGAGAAAGAAACCCAGCCTTATAGACCCAGAAAGCAATGAAATTTTCAAATCTGGAAGTCTCAGTTTGCAGACTGGCCTCCTCCAAAAGAATGTTTCAGGTTTGATGTTCAGAAACTTTCACTGAAATTTTTCTGATTTGTAACATCCTTAATGACAGTTGTGTCTCCGTAAAAGCCTTTATCACTCAGGGTGCTTGAAATATGGCACCTTCACAATAAAGATATAAAGTCATATTCTTTTGATATTCATAAACAGGGTACCAGATGCTAATATTGAATGTGATTAAGGTTTTTAGTTTGGTCCTGACTATTGACAGTCGACAAGAAAACTTATTAGAGGAAGAAAAAAAGTTGATGAGGAATTTTATAGTTTCTGGATACCAATAGGTATCATGAAACACTTGCAATTTTCTTGAAGCACAGCCCAAGAATTACTCATCTCAACCTTGATTAAGGTTGTTTTGGCTCACATTTAGGCCACAGGGAGTGGGAGGAAAAAGCTAGAGAGGAAGAAGCATAAGAGAATAAGGACGAAGGAGGCATGTTGAAAGATGAATTCATAAATGTGAAATGTATTGTTTGATGTAAAATTCACTGACCATAAGTGAAAAGAAAGCAGCATCAAGGGACTGTTTTTAGAAATAATATCAGGTCAGGCAAATATTTATGCTGGCTTTCCTCTTGATTGCTGTCTAGAGCTGCAGGGGAGGGGACCAGACCAGAGTGTGAAGGGGATTTCAGAGTGGTCACAAAAACAAAGTATGGATTGGGGGAGAATCAAAACTAAATGATTCATGTATAACTCTTTGGAGAGCCAGATGTTTATAACCCAGGGAGTGCCTGTATTTGCCACATCCATCATAACCATTCATCAAATGACCATAAAATTGAACGCTTTTGCAATCTCCCATTCTGTTATCATCCCCATTGTCTGGGGGTTGATATTGAAATTTCCGGAAAGTGAGTTCTGGGTCTGAGCTACATTCTCCCATTCTTCGTCTGGGTCAGTGTGTTCCAGGACTTCATGCATCTATAAAAATGACCTTTTCCCAGGCATCACAGATCCTCTCGATCCACCCCAAACTGTATCCCTAATTGAGTTTTGAGTCCTCGCACCCTTGAGAAATCTGATTAAGTATATGCTGTCTCTTTACCGAGGTGGTAGGAAACAAAAGGGAAGGATTTTGTGAATGGAGATATTTCTCTCAGCTAGACATAGCAATTCAATAGAAATGGTTATCAGATGAGTCATCCTTGACTCATCCTCTCTGAATGGAAAATGAAGCTGTGCAATGAAGTTTCTAGCCTTTGTTCTCAAGCCTGGAACATGTCTCCAATGATAGGTTGCTGCCTAGGAAATCAAGATTCTAATAGTCAAGTTCTTGAATAATAGAAGTGCTTCTCAAGGTGAAGTGAACCCCCGGTGTATGTCCTCAAGTCCACGAACAAAGTCAGGTGAACAGAAGACTCTCAATAAATATTTTTGAATGAACTAATTTATTAGTGAGTAGGTTGATAAGGAAGAGAGAAGAGTTGAAGATTTCTCTTAATTTTCTGGCTTGGGGGACAGTGTTGGCTTGTGGCAGTATTAATTAATAGGATTTAAGAGAGTCTCTTAAAGATATAGATAAAGGTATGCAATGAACTCAGTTTTGTACCTGTTGAGTTGAAGGATCTGTGGGATGTCCTTGGATACCTGGGTATATATCGTGGAGAGTGTGAATTATGAAAATGAAGATTAAAAGGATCTTGCATATATAAATGGAAGCTTACCAGTACTAATTATCCTTCCTTCTCTTCGACTCATTCAATCTTCTTTCTTTCCAGCTTTTCTTCTTTGCTTTCACAAATATTTCAGGGTTGTTCATCATTTGCAGAACTTGGCACTGAGCACTGAATGTACATGAAAAAGAACAGTTTTGATTCATTTATTTAACAAAGTTTTATTGAGTTCCTACCATAAGCCAGGCTTTGCCCTCGTAGTTGGTCAGAGCATTCATATCCAGACATAGTCCCTTTTCGGAAAGAATTTAAAAATCGCTTAAATTCATAAAACATAAATTCATAAAACAAGTAAAGTACTGTTCAAGACAAAGGATCATCCCCCTCATACATGTCAGATGATTATTCCAAAATCAAATATGAGATTTACTAAAATCAGATAAAGATTTCCGCTTTAGCAAGAGTCAGTTGCGTCATTCAATTCCAATCCTTCTTGCCATGTTGAGCTTTTAAGAATATATATATATTTCTTAAGTGTGAAAAGAGTAACTTTATCCTTAGCATAGATGGTA